GATCTACAGGCGATGAAAAACCGACTAAAAATTATGGAACGTTTTGGTCTGTTTTTGACCTTGATGCAATCAAAACCAGCTAAATGATTGTGACAAAAAAGTCTGATTTTGGTCTTGAAACAATAGAAAACAATTTTATTGTAACATCAAAAATGATCTGAAATTGGTCTGAATTGGGAATAGTACGGGCAAAAACAGATTAAATTCTAATATAAAATAGATACACATAATAAAATTAAATAGAATGAAAAATATTAAAAATTTTCATTAATCGTAAAACAGATTAAATTTTTTGACCCGGGATGTCATTCGGATTTAACATAGCTTATGCAATTGCTTTCCATTTCACTCGCTAGTGCTGCCTTCTTCACGGACTCTCTCTTATTCGATTTTAATAATGATCATTTTTGTTTAACTAGCCAGTTTATTGATAATCTTTATTCTAATAGGTAGTTTTTTTAAAAGATCGTAAAATTCCTTTAATGCCAAAACAATAAAAATCAGTTATTTTCTCGTTCTTTGCCATACCACCTGTGCAAAAATATCATTTTTAATTGCAATCATCTTATGTTTGAAACTGTTAATTAATATTAAATTTTGACAGCACATGTATTATGTATTCTGTTTCGTATATTTTAAATATTAAAAACTTCTTAGAATTTTTCATCTATAAGTGAACTACCTCAAGACTAAAATTCTTGATTGAACAATTTTTTCTCTCGATTCGAGTTTTAGAGTTTTGATTCGATAGTAAATTTCTCAACTCAATTCGAACTGAATATCTCGTACCAAGAATAAAATTTTTAAAAGAATATTTACTTGAAGCAAGTATTTTTTTTCAGTGTAGTGCTTAATCATCACAACAAGTTGATACATCGGGTGTATTTACGCTTTTTTTTTTTTTTTTTTTTTTTTTGGTATTCATATACTTCTCTTGTCCTTTCTAGTATAAATACAGTATGAATACAATGAAAGTGATTTAAATTTAGAAAATTACTTGCACATGACAAGTTGAGAATAATGCACCTTTTCAAGAGCTTCGCATTTTATTTATAATAATAAAATTATCTAGTTATTCCATGGGAAAATTATAAACATTATTATTATTGTAATAATAAATATATAAAAATTCAAAGGGAAGGGATTTATTTATTTATTAACGATTATAGATGAAAAAGTGTGATAGAGGATGATAATTACTTAACAAGAATAAAGTATATAAACAGAACGATAATGTAGATTTAATTGTAAATTCGCAGATCCCTTAGGACTTGAGACATAAATCCCCAATCAAATTACGTATTCCCAAAGCACTCATCTGCCTCCCACAGACATCAATTGTCGAAGGGACGCCTGAAGGAAACCCGTCAACGCCACCAGCAGTAGTACCAGCAACCAGGCAAATGCAACCAAGAGTTTTCTGGCGTGGGTAATAAACCGTTGATAACCATCGAGAGAGCTCGACGGCCATCCAATAAAGTGCTTCAAGGTACAAACAAAAAATTTCTCAACTAAAGAACGAAAATCTATATTTTTAACTATTTTTTATCTGTCAACTACATCGACAGTCATAAACCACCTAATTCGATACGAATCTCCGCTAGATATATTAAATCCATCGACCACTTTCTCTTTTCATCATTAACCCCTTTAAATTGAACGTATTATGTCGAGAGATAAAGATATTAATAAAATTCAAGTGATTGTTAAATTTTAATATATTTAATACCTGGAATATTTCATCGTCTCTATAAATTTTTGTTGGTACATATATTCATCGTTTGAAAATAATACTACAAAGAATCTATCTCTACTTTTGTGCATTTTTAATTGTAATAAGATAATTTAATTAAACCAACTGCACACAGAAATGTAAATATAATTTTATTAAATTAATATCAACGAAATATTTTAACCATATTTCAAATTCGCTTCGCGTTAAGCCAACTATAAAATTAAAAGGGACGAAAACTCAAATAAAAGTATAAATAAACAACCATATCGTCGTTAAACTGTGCATACTTTAATATAATTATTTTTTTGGTTCAAAAATTTTTATCATGATTCAAGTTCATTTTTTTAATCGGTCAGTTTAGACATAATGACTTCTTCGAAGAAGTTTCAATACAAATGATATGGAAAATATAGTGTGTAGCACTCGTTTCGCTCAGGCAGTCCACACTCGTTCTCGTCTGTAATCATCTCGTTTCATCCCGAGCCACACAATATATAATTACCAACTGAATAATTAATTTTGTCGCAGCCAATTAAACAAACTACGTGTGCTCATAATCCCATAGATTAAAAAGTTACGATGCAAAAAAAAATATTTGAAGAAAAAATCGGACAGGTGGGTAATCCAAACGATGCTATTAGGCAGATCGTAATGGCCACAGTGTTTCCCAGGGGCGACATATATGCATGCAGCTCTTTTGTGCTTTAAACTTTTCCATAGATTTTTTTTTTATTTCAATTCTATTTAACTTCCTTCTCTTTTTTTTTCTTCTTCTTCTTCATCTTGGTTTAGTTCTTATGCATCTTAATCTAGTTATTTTTCGTATCCTTTCACTATTTCTATCTTGTGTAAAAATCCAATCTTCTCCCTCAGGATCATTTCAAAATCTAAAACTTATCATTGATTTCGCTTTTGGTGCAATCCAGTCATTTCTGCATAGCCACGGGTAGCCTCATACTTAAGAGAGCAAACAGCTAGCGAAAGTGTGGAGAAGTTCTTCCAGTTAAAAACCACTGTCAGGGTGCTGATGGTACTGAGGACTGAGTTCTGGGATATGCTTAGCAAGTGAAATAAAACAAGACAGTGAATATAAGTAAGAAGAAAAGTAAAAGGGATAGAAATAGATGACAGTATGGTCGAGACAAGTTTTCGTTGTCGAGAGACAGGTGGGAACGATGTGCTCATACTGTGCAAGTCTTTCAGTCCTTTGCACTGCTCATCCCCAAGTCCTCTTGTTTCTACATCACCATCATCATCTCTTACTCTTCCATTTTCCCTTATTATATTCTCTTATATCTTCAGCCCTTTTTCTTCTTCTTCTTCTTCTTAGTCTTCTTCTTCTTCTTATTCTCATCTTCTTCATACTCTTGATCTTATTCTTGTTCTTCGGCTATACCTCTTATCATTTTATTTCTTCATCTCTTGTCGCAGCGTAAGTATAACGAGGCCGACGTGACAATCTGCCCGGGGTACGAAGCACGATCAAGGAGTAAGTCACGAGTGAGTGCTGAAAAAGTAGATGAGCAAGAGGTAGGTACGCTTACTCTTATTCGACAAGACCCAGTAACAGTAGTTGTAAATTTTATGGATCGTGTTAGTGTGATTGTAGTTGAGTTAAGTACATTGTGTCGTCTTTTCAGCTTCATTCATTGTTCTGTTATAGTTTGTTGTAAAGTAATTAATTTCGAGACAACTTCTCAAATTGTCATTATAAGTGATTTTTAGCTTATATTGTGCAGAGACAAATAATTATCCGAAAATTATAAGTTTTTATTCAAATAGATTTATACTACTTTACTTAAAATAGTATTAAGATATTAGCTCTTTTATTTTACTATAGTTTTTTCATACGCTAATAGAAAAATGTACTAATATTTCATTAGTTTTCTTAAATATTTATATACAATGTTACGTCCCAGGAAATTTAATGTTCTATAATAATTTTTACTTATTTGAAATTAAATTTTAGTTAAAACGACAAAATTTTATCTTGAAAAATTTCCGGACCATTGCTAAGGTCATAAATTACTTCTAAGTTTAAGTTTTTTTTAATCTCGAATTTCAAAAGGTTCTTTAATTTTTTTTTATATTATCCAGATGCATTTTCTCTTTTTCTCAGAACTATAAAACTAAAAATAAAATAATCTCGAGGAAATAGAAAAAACCTCTTTAGAAAATGCATCTGATCTAAGCCTAAGCCTACCAGGGCAATGAAATACGCATTAAGAGACCCATAAAAAGGGACTAAATTTTATGACCTTTCGAAATTCTATACCTTATTATAAACAGATGTGTTTAAAATAACAAAATTTATTTTTAATATCCTTCGTTCTACTCTTGACAAACATTTTATTCAACAATCTTTTTTTTTTATTTAAACAAATAACTTACAATATTCTTAAAATGTACCGACACAATTTTGTCTAAAAATATTTATCAGCACCAGAACTATCTTTCGATTGAATAAGTAAATTCTAAGGAAACTTTTATTACGACACATATATTATTTAAAAGATAAAATTTAATACTAAGAGAGAGTAAATAAAATTCTCTAAAAAGAAACGTTTGTCAATATACATAATATATATAACGGTACTGGTCACAAAAGTTTAAACAATTATTAAAGTCAAATTAAATTTTAGAGTCAATTTTAATTCTCGATGATTATATACAAACTTTACGACCTATTGTTGTAAAATTGCACTAAATGAGAGAAGTCTTAAAATACAATTAATAATTAAATAATGAATCTATAATTACGAACAAAAACGTGTACTTTCGATCACGTATAAAATATCTAAGGTTTCAAAACTCATTCGCATTATTATTATTTCAAATCAATGATTAACGAGTTGTTATTAATTTAACAAAAACAATATAATAAATAAATAATAATTTTAAGAAATGACAATCAATGAATATTATTAAATTTTGACCACCACATGGTATTTATCCAAAGTCTCTAAGCATTTTTCATTTTAGCTGAAAATTACTTATAATGATAATAAGAATTTTTCATATTCTTTAACAATAAATTGTTATAAATAAATTGTTAAAAATAGTTTATAAATAAATGTAAAAATTAATGTGCATGTTAGTGTATGTGTGGGTGCGTACGCACATAGGCTAACATTTTGGGCGGGACTAGTCGCTTTTCCTACGAAAATGGAGTAAGTAAGGGAACGGACCCCGGAAAACTGCTTCCTGATTGGATGCAGTTTTCCCCCGAAAATTATGTCCATTTCGGAATAGCCGTAGACATAAAAGGGCCTCGTTCACCCGAAACGCTCTCTAGTTCAGCTTCAGAAGCCGCAAGTGTCCTCACACTTCATCTATACCTATCGACGTTAGTCCCGACTAACATTCAGTACAGTGTCCTCACACTTAAAATTAATATTTCAACAGAAAATATCTAGATTCAGTTTAGAAAAAGTTAGAATCAGTGAAAATCGAATTGACCAGATACCGTAATTCAAATATTATACGTTTAATTTGGTTTCCAATCTTGTAAAACTTATTGTATTTAGAATTTAAATATTTGAATATACTTTATAATTTAAAACTACTCCTATCTGCATTCTTTCACTTTTAAAACCCAATACTCAACACGATCCCGGTCTATAGGCTGAAAAGCTTGGACCAAAAATAAATTTAATTAATTAGTCCAAATTCTGGACGTAACAACATATATGTAATATATATAAATATATAAAATATATGGAAAATTGATGTGGGTACTCAAATGAAAGGTCTCAATAAGTGTAAGATCAGGATGAGCTTATATCTTTAAAAATGTCAATAGTTCTCAAGATAAAAGGTCATTTTTTAATTATTGACATAATTCTTAAGGATATAAGCTCATCTCAATGTTACACTCATCAAGAGCTTTCATTTGAGTAGCCACATGCATTTTGATATATTTTCATATAGTCATATATATATAATATATATAAATATATGAAAAAATGATGTGGATACTTAATGAAAGGTCTTGATGAGTGTAACAATAACGGGGTGAGCTTAAATCTTTACAAATGTCAATAGTTCACAAGATACAAGGTAATTTCTTAATTAGGGGAGCTTGGGGTCGCCCCGGTCACCAACATTTAAAAAAATCTACTATACCTTAAATTTTGAATTTTGTTTTATTTTGTACGCTTATTCAGCTGAGAGTAAAAAATAGATTCAAAACTTAGAAATATAGTATTTATTAGTAATAATTAAAAATTAAAAAATTGATTCCCATTTGATCTAAGAATCGGAATCATTTCCGTAAGGCTTTTAATATAGTTTACAGCAAGATAAAAATTTATAATTTTTATGTATATAATCTATAAATCTTCCTTTATAAGTGGGAATTTTTATTATACTGTAATTATTAATCGTTTTCTTTTGAATAAAGTTTATTTTTTCAACTATCGGTTGGGGTCATACCGGTCAAAGCTGTGGGGTAACACCGGTCAGTTTATTCAATTGTTTATTGTTTGACAGCTCGTGTGTTTATTTAAAACTAACCACTATTTTGTAATTAATTAAAAAAAAAATCACAAAAGAAGCCAGTTAAATTGTCCGATAATGTTAATGAAGAACTCCAAACAAGTAAGTCAGCAGAAGAACCTAGAAAGAATTCAAGGAAACGAATAACTTCCACTCGTGCGACGGATAAATATCAAGTATGGCCTAAAAAACGCAAATTAGTTAAAAAACAGAAAGTTTAAATGTTCAAAATTACCAATATTTAATGTTATTTGCTGCTAAAGTTTCAATAAAAAAATTAATTTTAAATTTTTATTAAATTTTAACAATATAATTCGGAATTTCTAATTTTTAAAATAAAATTAATACTGACCGGAGCGACCTGCCTAATGACCGGGGTAACCCAACACGTTGGGTCGCCCCGGTCAAACTCATTATTTCTATAATTCCTCAAATATTTTTATTTATCTTCATACTTATATTTTTTAGTAATTGCATTTAGTTCTTCAGATGTCAAAGAATTGAATAAAGTCTTTTTTATTATTCCAAAATGATAATTTTAATATTTTTTTAAATTCACTTCTTAGGTGACCGGGGGGACCCCACACTCCCCTATGTATTTAGAAATAGAGCATTTTCGAATGCAGCCTAAACACTTATCATCATAAATTAACTATTGGTGAGAATGATATGAAACCATGAAAAAGCACATTTCAGGTCAAAACTTTTCCAACGATACCAAATTTAACCATGAAACTTTTATTTTACTCCGTAAAATAGCATAATATAAAAAAAAAATATACTTTTAAATATTTATTTCTATGTGTTTATATTTATAATCTAATATCGTACAATCCTGAAACTAAACAATCAAATTATATTAATTAATGAGAAATTTTCAGGAAATACATTTACACGCTTGATTGTGTAAAATTTAGAATTCACACCGTTCAAATTTAACATTACACTTAGTGCGATTTTCACACCGTCCGTGTTAAAAATTTTAACACCGAATCATTTACACCACACCGAGTCCAAAAAATTTTTTACAGTGTTAATTTACAAGCTAGTGGAAACCTCGATATGATGCAAGTTGAACATTTTATATGAAGAACTAAACATGATAATGATAATATGATAATTAAAAGTATTCTTGTTGCAGAACCAAAATTGAAACAATCAAGTTTAAGGACCGGAAAGTTCTTTTATTAATATAAATAAATCTTTTACTTTTCTGAATAACAAAAATGATAACTTTTGTCAAAGTAAATTATTAATAATTTATTCCTTTTATTTCTAAAATATAAAATTTAATAGTGAATAATAATAGTGAATTAATCAAAAAAGTAGAAATATCTTTGCTTTAACTCTAAACGTTAAGGTTTTAATGAAAATACAAATTCTAACTAGAATGGAAAATTGAAAAAATGCTACGGAGTTTCAACGTTATGAGTGGCGTTACAAGGTAAAAAATTTTAATATTTCCTATTTTTAATTCTCAAACCCAAAAAAATTAAACCTCTTAAAAAATAGTTGAATTTTGAAGTTATAATTAAACATTAAATCAAAAAATTATAACTTAAACTTAGAGTTAGATAAAAATCTGCAAAATGATTTTTCTTCTTTATAAAATAATAATCATTAATTTATATTTATTAACAACATTCATAAATTTATTGAAAAAGAATCTATAAAAAAATTAGAAAAGATTAAAAGCAACAACGATCTTAAGAAAATAAGAGGTGTATGAAAGTTTCAATTGTCATTTCTCGGTAGGAAAATAAGAAAGATAAAAAAATTCCAATCTTGAAAATCAAACACAAAGCTTTTACTTGAACATTTATCGTTTGACAACGTCATTCACCAATTTTATACAGTACACAATTCTTATTTATTTTATCTAAAGCTCTGTTCATACGAAATGAGATTCGTCAAGTATAATAAAGTGACACAAACATGTGAAAGCAGGAGCATCTACGAACTACCAATACAAATTCTGAAATAAATTATTAACCGAATGAAATGCAAGTATGCACGGTTTTCAACAAAGCGAATAAATAAATAAATAAATAAACTGTAATGTTAAACATATAATAGTAAATTATAAAACTAAAACAACATACAGGCAGTAAGCTCATCCGAGATTTGCGGTAGAATCCTCAGCCTTAGGTCATTCATGGATTACTCGGTTATGACCA